CCCTCCTCCGGGGAGTTCTCAATCCTTACCAGGCCTCGAAGGAATTCTCACAGTGTCTCTGTTGGAGAAGAGGCGGTTGGATATTCATTCTGGGGGCGCCTCATTCCCTGCATTTCTCAAGGGAACAAAGACCGGGAGGGCTTTTGTGAGTCCACAAATAACAATAACCACACTGCAGCTCCAGAGTGGAGCTTCCAGAGCACACAGCTCCGCAAAGAATACAGCACCTTTGTTCTTCTCGTTTTAAAGAGTAGAAAACTAGCAGACAAGTTGTGACTTGCTCAGTGTCACTTAAGTTTGTGGCCGAGCCGAGCGGCAGGCACGAAGCTGCTGACTGCTGGCCCTGGCCTCTGTCTTAATTGATCTGTATAACCTCAGGGAGGACATCCCAACATTCTATTACACTGTACTTCCAAGTGGCTGCTTAGGGGCAGGAAGTCCAAGAAACTGCTTAAAACTCTTGGTCCATATTCCTTTAAGGTGAGGCAAACTCTAGCTCACTCGCCTCCGTTTTTACATCTGTAAAACGGGAAGGTAATGCTCTCCACTTACCTCTTACAAACTGTAATGAACAGCTAACGAGTTAACACTTGCCAAATGCCTTAAGGTCCCGCTGGGTGGAAAGTACAAGGTGGTTTAAAAAAAAACAACAAAAAACACTACACAGTAAAACTGCATGGGTTTTCCTTTGTACTTCTTCCTTTGCCTCCGGGATGACCAGTTACCATAACACAGGCTGGTACCATTGGCAACATCCACCTAGTTATACAATCCAGGCAACTCCCCCACCACACACACACACACACACACACACACACACACACACAACTTCGCTCTGATCAAAAGTACTTAGAAGAAATAAACAGACCTATCTTGGCACTGTGCACGCCATCTACCATCGCAAATACTCAAGTTGAATACTTGGCATCGCTGAAAGTCAAGCTGTTTCTATTAATGCACCAGAAACCTTTGCAAGACGCAAAGAGCCGCGGCGGGCTCTGCGCGGGTGGTGGCGGGCGGCGGGGTGAGCGACGGCCCCAGGCAGTGGCGGGGCCGGAGAGCAGCGGGGTCGAGAGGAGGAGTGGGGTGTTTGACGCGCGACCCGGGGTCGAGGGAGCGACAGGGGTGCTCACTGAGGGTCCTGGCTTCTCCCACCCCCGCCGCCCGAGGACGCAGGACGGCCCAGGAGCAGGTGAGGTCGCCGACGCAAAGTTTCCAGAGACTAGGGTCGCGCGGGTCCCGGCTTCCCGGTCCCGCCCGCGCCGAAGCCCGGTGGGCGCGAAGTCCCTTCCCGCCGGCCCCCGCCCGCTCGCACCCCCGGGCCTGCGGGCCCCGTACCGCATGCGGGCTCGCGGCGGGGTTCCGTCCTCAGGCGCGGCTCTCGGCTTCTGCAGGCTGGCCGCCCACCCCTCCCTCTCCCGCCCGCTCCTCTCCGCCCGCGCCCGGGGCGGGCCGCGCGCACGCTCCCTGCGCCCCGCCGCCTTCTCCCGAGGAGGGGCGCCAAGGCGGGGAAGGAGGGTCCGGGCGGGAGGGGGCGCGAGGGACGCGCGGGGGCCCCCGGCGTTGCGCGTGCGCGCTGGGTCTCGGCGCAGACCGGTGCGCCCAGGCGCGCCCGTGTCTCCGGTGACCGCCGCTGCCCCCTAGGCCGCCTTCGTTTCAGGGGTCTTTGTGTGGTCCCCTCACCTGCCCCACACACCTGTTTTCCACTTCGACGTCTTCCCATGAGTAGGGTGTGAGGCGCGGGTGCAGGCGTGGTGTGTTAGGGTACTTTCTGGATGGGAGAGGACAGGGAAACAGTACTAATCTGAAAGGCGCGAGCGCCGCAGCTGTGACTAATCACCGCCTTTCCCCGCCCCCACCCGGCCCGGCGCGAAGGGCGAAGGGAAATAAGTCTCAGGGCAACCATTGGGTGAATTTTGCTTGGACAGGTGTGGGTACTTTCTAGTAAGTGGAAAGCAACATCGAGGTTCAAAAGGAGGTAAAGATAACAGACATCTTTTGCCTGCTCCAAGACCCCGAACAACCCACGCCGCTACCTCACAGGTGCCCGTCCGTGCCCCCAGGTAGCGAGGTGGGGTCTCCGGAGCCAGGGCTGAATGCGAGGGCTCCCTGGGAGTGTACTTGCTGTGTCACTGGGGAGGGGGTCTTGTTTATTTCAGTCTGTCGGTCTGTAACAGAAGTAGATGCACAATGGACTTTTTTCAGCTCAAAACCCCACCACCACCGCGCAGGTGAGGGGCGACGCGGGAAGGTAGAAACGACTTCCTCAAGGCACTGCAGTGAGTCAGACACACAAGAGTCCTGACTCCTTGCCCAGACAGCTCCTCACCATTGCAAAGTGTTGGCATCAGAACTGCTGAACAGTCAAACGAGTAGTCATAGATTAGGGGGGGAGGGGGAGGACACATTGCACCTTAGGTTTACATTCTCCCACATCGTCAAGCGATACTGATGCTTTGAGGCTTTTTATGCTCTTCCCCATCGCCATTGGCCAGCCAGATTCAGAGTCATCAAGTGGGTGCTGGAATGTCTAGAAGTTTTGTCTGCTTCCCAGACAAAAATATAACATCAAAGTCATTTCAGTGATAATCCTGGGAGAGCTAAGACGGCCGAGACGGGAAAGATTTATTTTTGCCTCCATTAAAAAAAAAAAAAATCAAAGCTTTAAAATTAGACAAAATTAACCTTTCTATGACAGAACAAAGCAGTAATGTTACCATTCAGGATAAAACACAAGAGTTGAAAGCTTGCCTGGGAAAGGCATCTTCCAAGCACTAAATTGTTTCAGCAGTTTTAGTGGCTTGTTTTTGACATGCCAATACACAAATAGCAAAATCTCTAATAGAAATGATTGTATGCTGCTTTCATTTCTGCTTCTTCCCCTACACTCCTTTCAGGCAATTCAGTGACTCAGCAGCACAAAGAGATACATTCCTCTTCAGATTCCACTTTGTTACACAGAAGCAGGTTTCCAGATCAAGTTCCAGGTAATGCCGAGGAGCTGGGCAGGAATTTGGAACCAGGGAAGAATTATACCCTAATCAGTGAAGAGAAGGAAAGTGGCCTAACATAGAGTTCGTGTTGAGGATGATGTGTGCATAAAGATCTAGAGATTAAGTAGGAAGATGTGCTGAAGTCAGCCCTACCACACTATGATTGTACATCTAGTGCCTGTGGGGAGGGAGGTGTTTATGCCTTTACAGAATGAGGAAGCCTGAGCTTCTGTTTGCCTTTATGAAACACAAAGTCGGAAAGTACGGTATTACCTTTCCAGAATACCATTGTCCAAATAGAACTTTGATGACCAACATGTTCTGCACCTTCTCTGTCCAATACAGTAGCCCCACTGGCCTCGGGTGGCTACTGAGCACTTGAAATGTAGCTTGTGTGACCGACCATGGAATTTAATTTTAAATTTTATTAAAATTTTAATTTTATTAATTTTTAATTTTTAACCACATAGTCACATGTAATTACTGGCCACCATACTGGACAGCACCTTCTAGACTACATGTGAGTTTATCAGCATCAACTATCTTAGGGGCCATTTGCTACAAAAGTACAATTCCTGTGAACAGTGAGGGTTTGGGTTCTCCTACCTGCAACAGGCAGTGCTTTACAGTAGCACAGCAACAATGCAGAATGAGAATTGTCTGGAGTAGACACAGCAAGCAGAGGGTGGAAGCTTCTACTCTGATTAGCTTCTGATGTCTTCCTTCCCAAAAACATTCTCATTAATTGCTTGGGTAGTGACCGTTCCTTAAAGACTTCTTGGGTCAGCTATTCTCCTGCTGGGTATCTTCCCCCAAGAATTAAAAGAATCATACCACAGTGATATATGTGCACCTATGTTTATAGCGGCACAGTTTGTAATAGCTAAAGCTTGGAAACAGCCCAAGTGCCCATCAACTGGAGACTGAATAAAGA